AGGATGCAAGGCCTAGAAAGGATTGAATATCCCTTACTGTTTTAGGTTGAGGCCAGTCCATTATTGCTTTTATTTGCTTAGGGTCCATTTGAATGTCTTTCCCATTAATAATGAATCCTAGTAATGATATCTCATAAACAAAAAACATGCACTTTTTCAAATTTATCACTAAGTTATTATCACTAAGTGTAGTAAACACATGTTGAAGGTGATGTAAATGGTCTTCCCTAGAGGTACTGTAGATCACAATATCATCAAAATAAACCACGACAAATTTATTAAGAAAAGGAAGAAGAACCTCATGCATTAACCTCATGAAGGTGTTAGGGGCGTTAGATAATCCAAAAGGCATGACAAGCCACTCGAACAGTCCTTAGTTGGTTTTGAAAACGGTTTTCCATTCGTCCCCCAGTCGGATACGTGTTTGATGATATCCACTGTGCAAATCTATCTTGGAGAAGATCAATGCTCCCCCTAACTGGTCAAATAAGTCATTAATACGAGGGATAGGAAAACGATATTTAACGATTATTTTATTGATAGCTCAACTATCCACACACATTCGCCGCGACCCATCCTTTTTTTAGTGAGGAAGGCGGGCACCGTACACGGGCTCAAGCTAGGTTGAATATAGCCTTTGTCTAACAATTCGACTAGTTGCTCATGTAGGATTTTATATTCACCGGGGCTCATGCGATAATGAGGCAAGTTAGGTAATGTGGAACCTGGTATAAGGTCAATATGGTGTTGAATATTTCGGAGGGGTGGTAATGTGTTTGGTAGTGTGGTGATAGTTGGAAATTTTTCCAGTAGAGTTGTAATTTCAAGAGGAATTTCGGCCAGTTGGTTACTACCGGTAGGAGTAAAGTCCTTGATGACTAAGCCAAGAATCAGCTCATTTTTTTGGAAAGAGAAGTGTTTCCCTTTAGCTAGGTGAAACAACTGTTCTTTTTCCTTAGGATTTGAAGTGTTTGCCCCTGTCAAAGGTAGCAAAACCACTGTTCTACCCATCCACAGAAATTCGTAGGTATTCTCACGGCCTTTATGTATGGCTTGGGTGTCATACTGCCAAGGTCTTCCCAATAGTATGTGACATACGTCCATGTCTAGAACATCACAAATTATTTGATCTTTGTAGTTGTTCCCAATGGATAAGGGAATTGTTGAAATAGAAGTAACTTGGGCTTCTCCTCCTTTTTTAATCCAACTAATTTTGTATGGGGTTGGATGAAGAGAAACCTTCAAGTTTAAGGCATTTACTAATTTAGTAGAGACAATTTTTTCGGTACTACCACTATCTATGATAACATTGCACACTTTCCCGTCGATAGTGCAACGAGCTCTAAACAAGGAGTGTTGTTGAGGAAATGAAGCCACTTTAGGTGTGAGTAGGATGCATTCTAAAACACATGAAACGGGATCACCCTCATCGGGTTCAAGAACTAAGCGATCCTCCTCGTCATTGATATCAACATCGTGATCAAGATTGTCACCATCTTCCACGAAGTTGATTGTCTTTCTTTGGGGACATTCATTTGATAAATGACCAACTTGGCCACACCGAAAACATTTTCCCAACATGGGACGGCCATAAGTATTGTTAAGTTTCTTGGTTTGGTCCCCCACTTTAATGTCATCACACCCCTTCGTTTTAGAGCTAGAAGCCACACCTTGGTTTACGGTTTTATCCACGGTTGACGTGCCTTTCTTGAATCCAGCAACATCTGCATCAGCGGAACGGCATTGATATTGGTATTTAAATCGGTTGCCAATTTGTTCTTCGATTGTTAAGGCTGTGGCAATTGGCTTCATCTAAGAATCCAATGGGTTGAATTTGTAGCCGTTCCTTGATGTCAGTCTGTAGGCCTCCCACGAACTGCGCTACTTGATATTGGTCAGTTTCCCCCAAGTTAGTCCTAGCACCTAAGCGGTGGAATTCCTCATTGTAGTCGGCAATGGATCGGCTCCCCTGTCTACAATTGTGGTATTGGTTGCAAAGGACATGTTCATAGTTAATGGGAAGAAATCTTGCTCGCATTAATTTTCTCATTTTTTCCCATGTTTTTATGGGTTGTTTTCCAAACCGTTGCCGGTTTGTCTGCAATTGTTGAATTAGTTAGAAGTTAAGATCATGTGGACTTAGTTAGAAGTTGTTTTAAAGTTGTTTAGATTTTGTGTTTAAATTTAGCAAATAAATCTCCTTTTTTTGTTAGGGAAGTTAGGAGGTTATTCCTAGATTTTGTTTCCTCTTGTAACCTATAAATAGTGCCTCTATTCCTCATCTTTGATCAATCAATTTGAGAATTTATTTCTTCTCTCTTTTCTCGTGTATGTCTCTTTGGTGTCTCTATCCTTAGTTTTTATGGTATCAGAGCCAGGAGTTCCTATGTTCGAACCCCTGCATTGTCGTTTCTTAAGAGCAATTGCTCCCACCAAGCGGAAGTTCCACCTTTGAGTTTTAAGGCAACAAGGTCGACTTTTTTATGATCCGGGGTGTTCATATATCCAAAGAAACTTTCAACATTCTTGATCCACTCAAGAAAACCTTCAATGTCAAGTTTACCATAAAAAACAGGGAGGTCAACTTTCATTTTATACTCGTTAGGTTCACGATACCTTGGGTTATGTCGTTGGTTGCCCCTGCGATTCATTTCCCATTCCGGATACTCATCATCTTCACTCAAGGAATCAAGTGGAGTACCCCTTCGTCAGTTAACCATACAATTCCGGCGTGGATTGTTGTACAACCGACGAGGTTCTGGATACCGAAATGGGGCGGGAAAAGGATCTTGGAACATACCTGGGTTATCTTGTGCTAATTCAAGTGTAGGATCATGTTAGAGTTGGGTACGCCGAGGGACGGGGAGAACCTTGAAAAGGGAGGGGTTCTTGATACATTCTTGGGACTGCTTGCTGTTCCCCTCTCCCAGTAACAATCCCTTGCCCATGAATGTCCTTACCGTTCCTCTTTCTTGGCTGATCTTGATGTTCTTGCAAGTTGTCAATCTTGTCCACCAAAACGCTCAAGATTTGCTTAATCTCTACCACATTCCGCTGCAAATTCTCTACAGCACCTTCAACTATTGGTCGATGATCGTGGAGAGAGGACGGCTGCATTTTCCACCACGATTGTCGTCGAGAGAAGAATCCCCTCCAGCTGGAATAACTTTCTTGCCGGCCATATCCAAAAGGAGCCCAAGATTCTTGATGCTCTGATACCAATTTGGTGTAACTCCAAAGGGAGAATTTTATTAAGAATGATAAGATGATCTTCTACAAAGAAAAGACTTGTTATTTAAGCAAGGAGGCTAGGAAGGCTTTGACTAACCAACCCAACTAAACAACAAACAACTAACCAACCCAACTAATCATCAACTAAACTAAAAGTAACTAAAACAGAACTGCCAACTACATCATATCTGCCATCTCATTTCCAAAAACCCAAGCCAAATTAAATTCCTCAAACAAAGAATTCCAACACTGCCTGGCAAAGGAACAGAAGAAAAAAATGTGCATCATACTCTCTTCATTGGATTGGTAGAGGGCACAAACCGAGGGCATCAAACTGAAGCTAGGAAGCTTCTTCTGTAGAACGTCATTCGTGTTTACTTTCCCATAGATGAGAATCCAAGTAAAGAGGCTGACCTTCTTTCGACATTTAGTTTTCCAAATAGCTTTAAATAAGGTGTTTGGCAGTGGAGCACCGTTGGTCATCTTGCAAATTGATGCCATTGTAAAAGAACCGGAGATATCCAACAACCAACACCTACTATCCGACTCGCTGGTAGGGGAATGAAAATGCAGTATAGATAACAATGCGCTAAACTCTCCATGGGTGATGAAAGATAACAGTACTAATTGTCTATGTAGACGACATACTCATCACGGGTGATGATCAAGAAGAAACAAACAAATTGAAGAACAAACTCTCCCAAGAATTCGAGATTAAAGACTTGGTAGATGAAATATTTTCCAGTCATGGAAGTAGTCGAAACAAGGAGTTTCGGTATGTTAACAAAAATATGTCCAAGACCTCCTCAAGGATGCAGACATGAGTAGTTGTCAACCAGCAGAAACTCCGATTGACGCTACAAATAAATTAGGAGACGTGTTTCAAGGTACCTGAGTGGGTGTTTAAAGGTATCAAAGGTTAGGTGGCCAGCTAATCTACCTATCTCAGACTCGTCGGGACATAGCTTGTGCAGTGAGTATGGTGAGCTAATTTTGCATAGACCCTTTGAGGAACACCTTGAGGCAGCATATGAGATACCAAGATACTTGAAGGGCTGTCCCGATAGAGGACTCCTCTTTAGAAAGGGAGAAAACAAGACCGTAAAAGCCTACACGGACGCTAATTGTGCAGAGCTGTAACAGATAGAAAATCTATATTGGGATATTGTACGTATGTGTAGAGAAATTTAGTAATATGGCGCAGCAAGAAGCAAAATGTAGTGGCACGATGTAGTGTAGAAGCACAGTATTGGGCAATGGCTAATGGTGTTGCGAAATGTTATGGATTTGCTGCATAATCAGAGAATTGAAACTTGAAGTCATTTCACCTATGAAACTATTTTGTGATAGCAAAGTAGCAATAAGCATTGCTCAACATCTAGTACAATGTCATCACACAAAGCACATAGAAGTTGATCGATACTTTATCAAGAAAAATTCAGAGACTGGAGACCAAACTACAAATATTATAACTAAAGGATTGTTCAAACCAACCTTCGATGAACTTATAAGCAAGTTGGGAATGCATGATATCTTTGCACCAACTTGAGTGGAGTATAGAAATATGTATGTAATCTGTTAGGTTGATGTATATAGGAGTTGTTAGGTTGTTTTAAATTTGTTTTATTATTCCTTAATTGTAGCTACCATAACGTAGTTTGTAACCTATAAATAAGCCATTTTGGCTCATCAATGAGAATTCTATCGAATTGTTATTATTTTGAAACATTACTTTCTTCTTATACGATAATTCAAAATGTTGATTACAGACCAACTCAGAAGAAACCGAGGAGGATTTGCCTTGTTCGTTCCTTAATAGTAGCTCAGACATGATTGATGAAACAATTGAAATGATTGCCAAGGAAAGCCATGTTTCTCCAAAAGTAATAGAAGAAGCATATTTTATTGTTAAAGAACCATCTAGTCCGGTTAAAGATGCTGAAAAGGTAGAGACTCTCCGAGCAGAAGTGGCTAATCTAAAGGTAACTCTGATTCAATCAACATTGACTAATATTGTATTTCTTTCTTTCTTCTTGTCTGTGTTTCTAAAGGCTACTTTTCGTTCTTCATATTTCTAAACTTTATATCTTGGGGAAGTATATATGCAAGAGAAGAAAAACAAGGGTTAAATATTGTGTTATGTTAGACATATACATTAGCTAGATAGGTTGGTTTCTTAGACACCAACTTCAGAAAATTAGTTTTGTCAGCTAGAGGGAGACCAACAGTTGTAAATAAAGGAAGAATAACAAACTATTTTAATGGGCTTGATTCATGTTTCAATAGCATGGTGCAGTCAACATCTTGCATTGTTTAAGCAATATAGGCGGAGCAATTGGTGACTGCTGAGATTGAAGAGAATGAAATGGTAGTAGGTGCTGGATTAAAAAGTGCTGTCATGGAAATTTATATATGTGAGATAAGCCCGTAATGTCATATAGGTTCTGGAATATCACCGATGCCATATTAGATATTACGTTAACTTTTATTAGATAATTGCAATAGAAATGTCTAATAGGATTGCGTCTAGATAAACAATGGAAGAATAATTTATTTTTGAAGCTGAAAGGTTAAAATTTCAAGCCTCCTTCATACTATATTGTATTTAACATGAAATAAAAAAAATGAATCGGAGTTTCTTGTTCCCTTTACAAAGGTATCAAAGGTATCAAAGAATGAAAATTGTTTACAGTCAGTTTTTTTTAAGAATATCTTCTGTTTTTATCATAAGTCTTAGTTTTGTTGTTCTTGACTAAAAGTTGGCAGAACACATTCACGTGAACAGGCCCTGTTGCAAGCTGAAAGGCAAAGAGCTAATGAGTGTGAAACGAAGTATGTTGTAGTACAAAAAGCAAGTGAGGAAGGACGTAAAAAACTCAAAGAAACCAAAAGGAAGGTGCATCAACTTCAAGACTGCATAAACAGGTAATACTGGCATTGTGCCTCTTAAAAGCATACAACATTTTCACCTCTTGATATTTGAATCAAGTGTGGAAAATAGTGGTTACAGCATATCTCTTTTCGTTATCAAAGCATATATGGAAAGTTTTGTCTAAAAATTGAAAGGCATAATTGTTTCTCACTTGTCCATCCTTTAATTCCTTTATTTTGTCGTGGTGGGGCTCTATTGTCTTTGTGGTGTAAACCAATTGAAGAAAATCTTTACTGAATTAATTCATGCCCTTAAAACAGGGGAGGTTGGCTTTTATAGGGAGCCAACTGAAAGTAACAGAGCTAGCTAACTAAAATAAGAATGTTACAAACTTAACTAACAGATACCGAAAGAAATAGAGGCTAGCTAACTACATCAAATTCCCTCCTGCCAAAAAAGAAAAAATAAAAAGTCCTCGAGTTTAAGTAGCTAATTCAAATGCATCCTCAGCTTGATATTCATATATATCTGCTATGTTGAATGTGGGCGGACTGGGGGACACGAAATTCAGAGGAACTCACCGAAGCCAATAGACCTGAAGATACTTTTTTTTCCTATGACATATGATAACACCTATTCTAAAAAATCATATGAGGTCATAGATTACAGTTATAGGATTCTAAGAGAAAACATCTCAACCAAGGTAAGTATGTTCCTCTCTCTCTTCTCTCTCCTCTCTCTCCCCCTCTTCTAAGGTCGCTGAAGCAAGATTGTTCGGAGGCTTCATCTTAGGTGTTCTGTATCCATCGATTGGATTGTTTGGAAGGCGAACTTTTTGATACTAGTTTCTGCATAATGGAGGTTAGTAGTTGTCGAATTGATGTTAAGTTTTTTTGCATTTGGGCTGAAAAGGACCGTTTTATGCTTGAAGACGTGAACAGAAAAGAGATGCTCTCTCTTCATCCAGCCCAATTTCTTTGGTTTGAGAATCACATGGCAAGTTTAGTTCACAAACCGCTTCATTCCTCCTCCTTTCATCATGAGCGAAATGAATATGGTACTTGTAGTATTCGTAAGTTGAAGATTAGGCATTCTTGGTTTGTTTCTATGAATTTGAGAGAATAAAAATATTCTGCTATATTCAAACATGTAACTTAGATCTTTTTATATAGGAGAATGACCTACTACAAACAAGGAAAGCAATAAATACCATAAAGGCTAAATATTAACAACTAATATTGACAACTAATATTGACAACTAATATTTACACAAATACTGATAAATCCAACACTCCCCCTCAAGCTGGTTTGAAGATGTCGTCCATAGCCAGCTTGCTGATTAAACTATCGAATTGTTTCTTTGGATGTCCCTTAGTTAAAACATCGGCAATTTGCTCTGCTGTTGAAAGATAAGGGATACATATTGCACCTGCATCAATCTTCTCTGTAATAAAATGTTTGTCAACCTTGGTATGTTTGGTTCGGTCATGTAGCACAGGGTTATGAGCTATAGATATGGCAGACGTATTGTCACAATAAATCCGTATAGGTGTCGACTGAGGAATCTTCAATTCTTCGAGCATCCTTCTGATCCATATACCTTCACAACTTCCATGAGCCAATGCTCTAAAGTCTGCTTCAGCACTACTCCTGGCCACTACATTTTGTTTTTTGCTCTTCCATATAACTAGATTTCCTCCAACAAAGAAACAGTAACCAGAAGTAGATCTTCTATCGGTAGTACTTCCAGCCCAATCTGCATCAGTATAAACTTCTACTTGGAAATGGTTATTCTTTTCGAATAAAATACCTTTTCCAAGAGTTCCCTTCAAATATCTCAAGATTCTGTAGACAGCTTCAAAATGAGTTGGTCCAAGTGCATGCATGAATTGACTTACCATACTTACAGCAAATGCAATATCTGGTCGCGTATGTGACAGATAAATTAATCTTCCCACAAGTCTCTAGTATTGTTCCCTATCCTTTATTTCTTCTGCATTTGCTGCTTGTAATTTCAAGTTAGGTTCAATAGGAGTTTCTGCGATCCTGCAACCAAGCAATCTTGTTTCTCCAAGTAAGTCAAGAACATATTTTCTTTGATTAACGAATATACCTTTCTTCGATCTTGCAAATTCCATCCCTAGAAAATATTTTAATGTTCCCAAGTCCTTGATTTGAAACTCACTTGCCAGATTTTTCTTAAGATCGGTTAGTCCTGTTTCATCATCACCAGTGAGAATAATATCATCTACATAAACAATCAGAATTGATATTTTATTATTCTGAGAGTGTTTATAAAATATAGTATGGTCAGCTTGACTTTGAAGAAATCCATAACTCGATATGACTTTTCCAAATCGTTCGAACCAAGCTCTAGGAGACTGTTTGAGGCCATAGAGAGATTTCCTTAATCTGCAGATTTTATTCCATCCGAGTTCCTTTCCAAAACCTGGAGGCAAATTCATAAAAACTTCTTCCTCAAGGTTACCATTAAGAAAAACATTTTTCACATCAAGCTGGTGGAGAGGCCAATCTAAATAAACTGCAAGAGACAAAAAGAACTCTAATAGAGTTAATTTTTGCAACAGGAGCAAACGTTTCCTGATAATCTATCCCGTAGGTTTGAGTGAAACTTTTAGCTACCAATCTAGCCTTGTATCTTTCGATGCTACCATCTGCATTACACTTTACGGTAAACACCCATTTACATCCTACTGGTTTCTTATCTTTTGGCAACTCTACTATCTCCCGAGTACTGTTTTGCTTTAGAGCATTCATCTCCTCCATAACAGCTAGTTTCCAATTTGGATCTTCTAAAGCTTCATGTATATTCCTTGGAACAAACAAATTAGCTATCCTAGATGTGAAGGCCTTATGACTATTTGATAGTTTTTCATATGAAATGTAGTTCAAAATAGGATATTTGGTACAATTTGGAACGCCTTTTCTAATGGCTATGGGAACATCAAGGTTAGAGACAACAAGTGAATTATTTTTAAAATTTGAAGAGGAGGGATTACCGGGATTACCAGACAAAGTTGAAGAGGGAGGATTATCAGATAGTTCAGTTTCATTTCTCGAAGTCTCATATTGATTTTGTGAAGGAGTAACTATTTGATCTTGGTTCCTCTGATTGAATTTCCTTCTAGTATAAAACTCTAACTCATAACTAGGATTCGTAGAATCGTTTTGTAGTATTTCTCCCCCTGATTGGACAGTTTCTATACTTGGCATCGAATGACTAGTAGAATCTGAACAGATGGGACTAGGAAGAGAAATATCCCAAAAATTATCTTCCAAATTCATTTTCTCCCCCTGAAGAGAATTTTGGATAAAATATGGTTGCTTTTCTAAAAAGGACACATTCATACTCACAAAAAGTTTAACCTTTTTGACCTGAAGCATGGCCTAAGAAAATACATTTAATAGCGCAAGGGTCAAGTTTCGACCTTAAATGACTAGGTGTGTGAACGTAAGTTGTACACCCAAAAACCTTAAAAGGTAGATCAGAATATATGCGGGATGTTGGAAAAACATTTTTAAAGGACTCAATGGGAGTTTTGAAATTTAAAACTTTAGTAGGCATTCTATTTATTAGGTAGGTCGCTGTGAGAACCGCTTCCCCCCATAAATATTTTGGAACATGCATGGAAAACATTGTAGCACGTGCCACTTCAAGTAAATGCCTATTTTTTCTTTCAACAATCCCATTTTGTTGAGGAGTATCCCGACAAGTAGACTGATGAACCATACCTTTTTCTTTCAAAAAATTTCCCAAAAACTCATTAAAATACTCAGTTCCATTATCAGAATGTAAAATACAAATTTTTGATTGAAATTGAGTTTCAATCATCTCATAAGAGTTTTTGAAAATGTCTTTCACCTCAGATTTTTTTGACATTAAATAAACCCAAGACAGGCGAGTATGATCGTCAATGAAAGTAATAAACCATCTTCTTCCACTATGAGTACTAATTTTAGAAGGACACCAAACATCACTGTGAATTAAGTAAAATGGTTTGGAAGCTTTATAAGGTTTTGGAAAATATGTGGAGCGATGATTTTTTGCTAAAATACAACTTTCACAATTAAAAGATGAACAATCAATTCCCTTGAATAACTTTGCAAACAGATATTTTAAATAGAAAAAACTGGGATGTCCTAGTCTACGATGCCAAAGCATAATTTGTTCCCTAACAGAAAGAGAACTAATACTACTAAGACCCTGAGTTATTTTATTACTAAAAGTACCTTCATCAAAGTAGTAGAGACCATCAATCATCCTACCGCGGCCAATTATCCTCTCCGAGTTCTGATTCTGAAAAATACAATGGGATTCAAAGAAAGTAACACTACAGTTAGAATCTTTAGAAAGTTGGTTGACAGATAAAAGATTACAAGCTAATTGTGGAACATGGAGGACAGACTTTAATGAAAGGGTCTCAGTCAATTTAATGGTTCCTTTTTCTGCAACAGAAGAAAAACTACCATCTGCAATTCTAACTTTTTCATTGGAATATGAAGGAATGTATGATTCAAAGAGATTAGAATAACTTGTCATATGATCAGAAGCTCTAGAATCTATAATCCATGGAGATGAGTTACTACATGAGAAAGCATTAGAATAAATACCTGTTTGTGTCAGAGATACACATGAGTTATTAGAAGGTAAATTGGAGGATAGCAATTTTAGGATTTGTTGAATTTTCTTTATACTTGAGTCACCATGACTGTCACCAAACATTTCTCTACCATTGTCCATTGAGATTTGGACCATTTTAAATAAACAACTTGTCCTGAACAAAAGCCGAAATATTAACAATAAATACCATAAAGGCTAAATATTAACAATAAAGACTAAATATTAACAACTAATATTTACACAAATACTGATAAATCCAACACTTTCATGGATTATTTGGCCATTTATTGGAGGAAGAAGAGTCATATTAGTTCCGGCGGCTTGCTCTAATATGTCAGGATGGAATGACTTTTGGTCTATGCTAAAAAAATTTTCTGCTAGGAATGCTGAACGGCAGATGAGAGAAATCTCAAGATATAAACAAGCTATGATGGGGAAAGACTCTGACATTCATATTCAAAGGTAGAAACAGGGCACAACCTACGCTGAAGTAGTGAAAGGTATTGGTTCTAAATTTTCTTTTGTTCTTGGTTGCCCCTCACCTTCCCTTATGTGTCCGTGATTCTTCAAGTTCGTGTTGTGTTGTGTCGTTGCAATTCTGCCTTCCTCACTTTGCCGCTGGCGCCCGGCTCCCTCGCCTCTCTTCCTCCGCCTCTTCTCTTATCTTCCTTTCTTTTTTTCTTCTCTCGTTTTCTTCTCCTCCCACTTCTTCATCTTTAAACCGACCAAAACCGACTGACCGCCCGTGTAACTGGTCGGTTGGAATTGTATAATGTTCAAAACCCGACGAGCTCCGACTGACACATATTGACTTGTCAGTTATCGGTGGCAGTTTGAGTCTAAAATTGGCTTCGACCGATCGATGATCACCCCTACTTATTTTGATGAGCAAAAGGCTTGAGAAATTCATGAGACTTCTCATGGGAATGAGTTAATGAAGGGGATGGTTTCCATTTGATTAGGTAGGAGATCGTTCCGCGTCCTCTCGATCCAGGGGTTTGGGCATTGGTAATCTAATGCTGCGTAATGAGGTCTTGTTGGCCAAATGACTATGACGTTTCTTTAGGGAACCAGATCCTTTATGACATAGGATCATAGTGAGTAAATACGGTCTGTCCTTGGAATGCTATTTACTTAGGTTTCCCCTTGCCCTCTCAATTTTGTAAATTGCTATCTCGGGGAAGGTACATATATTTATTTTTGGGAGGATTGTTGGATGGGAGATAAGCCTTTTTATGCTTTGTTCCCTCTTTTATATCATCTTTTTGATAAGTGGTTGCATTTTAACTCTTCTTTATCATTAGATTTCTGTCGTCCTTTATTGGACAAGAGACGGTGAAAGTGTCGGCCCTTCTTTCTCGTTTGGGTAATGTTCAATTGGGTCTAGGGAGGAGAGATGTTCATTTCTAGGACCCCAATCCCTTTCGAGGCTTTCTTGTAGCTCTTTGTTCCAGACTTTGTGTCCCTTCCCTTCTAGATCCCTTTCTTTATCCTCTTTGGAAGGTTAAGATCTCTAAGAAAGTCAAATTCTTTGTCGACAAGTTTTGCATGGGAGAGTTAACCCCTTAGATCGTATTCATACGCATTTTCCTTTGTGTTGGGCCCTCAATGGTGCAGTTTGTGCAAGTCTACAACGGAGGATCTCGATCATATCCTTTAGGAGTGCTCGTTTTCACAGGCTCAATGTTTGTTAGTTTAGACTCCTTTTGAGGGGCTGATTTTTTGTATACCCTTGTATTTTGTTTCATTTTTCTCAATGAGAGCTTGGTTTCTAGTAAAAAAACATAATTGTTTCTTTTCATATTTCTATAAATAGTTATTTTATTATTTGTTTTTCCTACCCGTTTATAATTTAGGGCTATGTTATCAGTTTCAATTTGATGGAATTGAGAAGGTGCTCGAATTCAAAAGATTGACCATCATGTCCTCGACTTCCAGTAGCTAGAATCAGCTTGCATATCCCAAAATTTTTTATGGCCTCGTGTTAAATAAAACGGATTTGTCACACATAGCTATGAACTTCAGGCTTTTGTTTAACCAGTTTATTTAGGAAGTGGTATTGGAAGTGCATTGCAGTGCGTCAGCTTTAGCAATAATAAAGTGTCTTCCTCTGCAAGTAACTAATAACCCATTGGATAATTTCCGTTTCTTCCTACATAAATTATACACTCCTATTGCCTATTTGAGAGTAAGCTGACAGATGGAATCATGGATAATGATTTGTGTAAGATTCTGTGTGAAGTGTTACAAATGTATTTCATGTGTACAACAAGCTATCACATAGCACATGGAAGGAGATGATGCACAAAATATACTGGAATCAAGAGAACATGAAAAGCAGTGGAGGAGATAAATGCAATTCTATCAGCATGGTTTAACACAATTTCAAGCACACTCCTTGAAATCTAAAACTTATGTTTCAAACTCGTACGTTGAGAATTGTAAATGTGCACCCCTGCACTCGTTTTCTCAAGTCTTATCTCGTAGCTCCATATGACCTTATAGTAGATGCTACATCATTTTCTCTGGCCCCATAACGAATTTATATGCCCTGGGCCCACAACAATTACAAATCTATTACACGCAGGCCCCTCATTCTTCCCTTGCTTGGGGCTATATATCCTTGTGCCTATTAGATAAAATGAGAATTTTTTCGTAAGGCATAAATTTCAAATCCTCCAACTTATCCCCCTAGGTCCCCATGATGTAGGGACATATAAATCATCCATTCAATAATATAAATAAGCAAATTATGCTATCAGGTAGAGGAATTTGGGGGATTAAAAATCGCGGGGAGGACGATGGCAGATCTTGGAAAAGTTAAAAGAGTTGCTGATTTAACTGAAAGTATCAAAGATGATAATATCTATTATCTACTAACATGTTATTTTGATAATACCAATCTGATCTAGTGTGTAACAGGATGATACGTTGCATGTCAAACCAAATTGTGGAGATGAAAACGCTCGTGAATACTTCAAACTCAGATGCATCTAGTTCTATTCCATACGAGGTTTCGACGGATGCCACATCTAGTTGCTCCGATTCATCATCGACTGAGTTTGATTTCACCTTTCCAGTTCCAAGTCCGCCTCCACCAACTTTCTCTTCATTTGGTCCCACCAACTCTTTTCAGCTGCTAGTGCAGGATATTTCAGCTGCCGAAATTCCAGGTATTTCCGTTTTACAATGATCCAGTGTATTTCAGCACCAATGAATCCATTGTAAGACATGTAAATTTTGTAGCCTGTTGCAATAGTTTATCTTCTAAATGCTTATATTCGAAAGGAACAGTTCTTGTCTCTTAAAATGTAGACGTTTTTCATTTCTTCTCTTCAAGATGCTATTGTATATATAGCCGTACTCGTCATATAGATCTGTTAAATAGTCCAACCATGATTGGTATATATGTACGTATATAGATCTCTCCCTTGAATTTTAGTTATATTTTGGTGTAACGGTGTTGATGGCAGTTGTTTTTTGTGATTGATCAAAATGTTAGCAAAGTATTCCCTTTTCAAATATGAGCTTCGGAACGGTGAAAACTGTTTTTAATAGATCAAAACACTTCTCAAGATCTGTTTGGTGTTTGGTTTCCTAGATAAAAGTAATTTTAAGAAATTTTTAAGTAGTCGACTAGTGATTTTATCAAAGCACTTAATTTATTGTTAAACATCCAAAACTCACTCTTACTCTATTCGTAGCTCTCGCAAAAGTTCCTCCTTGTGAGATCAAAGCTCTTGTTGCTGCTAATGCATTTAGTTAACAGTGTTCCATTTACTTTATGCAGGATCTGACAGGGAGGGGGGATTCTCTATTTAGTTTAATAACAATGTTCCATTTACTTTGTGCAGGATCTGACAGGGAGGGGGGATTCTCTGACTACTTCTGACGCAGCTTCCTGTACATTTCTTCTTCCTTCCAAATATAATTAGGAAAAGTTGTCATAGAATCCCTCAGTTTTCAAAGGAATTTTAGCATAGCATCTAGATTATTTTTTTGCTTCTTTTTCTTCGATAAGAAACAATTCACTTTTCATTAAGAGAATTGAAAAGCACTAGGAAGATCACGGAGTTACATGAAGGTTCTCCAATTGGTCAACATAGCAACTAGATTCAAATGAACTAAGAATAGTAGAGAACTGCACAGAGATTCAACTACCACCATCCCTTTGGCCTTTTTTTAGCTCCCTTTTTTTCTCTATCTTATGTATAGAAATGTAAATCCTCACTTGAATTCTTAGATCATGTTTTCGAGGATAGATCATGTTTTTAGTCCTCGAAGAATCACTAATATTGTATTTATCATCATTTCACTAACTTCATTCTTCATGATACTATCATCAATTAAACATATCTTAAAATGGCTTGATTGAATCGGCCACAAGATCGACTTTTTGAAGATCGGTGAGATGAAATTGGACAAATAAGAGTGCTCCACCGTAGACTTGTAGCAACATCAGAGTCAGTTTCTATATTTTGTAGGTTTTATTGCATACACCTTGAATTTTGTTGTACGACTAAAATTGTTAATAGTTGTGAATAAATTTTTGTAAGATCATACTTTTGTTGTACATCGCGTTTAAGGTCTTGTAATGGAGTGAATTAGTAGCTCATTGTAATGTGTTCAATTTTAGTGATAGTTTTGCACTTTTTTTTTCTTTGAATTTATTTTGACAGTGATGATATATAGGTGTATCATCTTCAGGCTCTGCATGAAGAATCGATAAACTTGTAGATTATTTTTTAAATGTGCTTGCTTTGGATATTTTCTTTTTGATGCGTATATTTCCAATTTTTATTGCATTTAATAGAAACTTTGTGTAATATAGACTACTGTTCTAAACAATGGATGTGTTTGGTATCAATTTTTCAAGGAGATGATTTAGGTTTTATGAAACTCGATAAAAAGAAAAAAAAATTAAGATTTCGATTCACCTTAGCCACTCTAACTACGTAAGGTATTAGACTTTAAATTCGACTCTACACCATCCTATATTATAAGAGTTGTTGAAATTATACTCCTCCACCTTATGAAATTGTTGCAATTAAATTGTCATTGATAGAATCATAATGGTAAGATTTTTTTTTTTTTTAACATAATGGTAGGACTTAAATGTAAGGATTTTGTAATTGTTGGGGTCATGATCCAAATTAAAAGTTTGAAGTTATGATTGATTGGTTGTAACGACTTTTATAATTTTAGGCTTTTAGCTCTAACTTTTGTCATTTTCTTATAAGATTTAAATATGTCTATTTATCAATGGATATATTTATATGTTTATATACTTCGACATTTTTTTTGTTGATGTTGCTCGAAAAAGTAAGAGAAAGAGACCCAAATATTTACTAAATTTTAAAAAATTTTCAAACGGAACAAATAAAAGAAGAAAGAAACTAATTTTTGCCCTATACTTAACTAAATGGGTTAGATATAATGTTTAAGTTTATCAAGTCAATAACTAAAATATAAATCAAATTAGACCTTAAAACTTTAGAAAGTGGTAAAATTAAAGTATAGAATTTCAAAAATTACAAGAACAATGGATTTGAAATCTAATTGACAACAAATATACTAACAAATGAGTGATTTATATCTAATTAGTGATCGAGTATACTCATTTTCATTTATTGACTAATATATCAAACTAAAATTCGTCATAATTTTATATCACATAAAAAAAATACTGTTTTCAAAATTTAATAGAAAAAGGCTGTCATTTGCAAATTTTCTAAAATTGATGCCTTCCATGAATTGAATTTCTATTTTTTTAAAAATAAATATTTTGGTGTTTTCATATCAAAGACTAAGATTTTAAATATCGGTATCAATGAAAATGTCGAGGTTTCAACTTTATAGAAATGTCAATGGAAATGTTGATGTCGATGGATATTTCTAGAAAATGATAAAAATAAAAAATGTGTAATAAATATTTAACTTAACGAATAAATATTTTACATTTTTTAAATAAATTAAAAATGATTAATATTAAAATTACTATATTACTTTTATTTTCTTCTAAAGTCAATCCTTGTACTTTTTTTTAGTAAGTTTACTTTTTGTCTTTCTTTCATCTTAGACTTGTTAGGAGTAGTCAATGTAGTGGTTTTTGTAATCATGGTTTCGTTTCTCCCTGTACTTTATTTCTCAACTTTCTTTCTTATTTATATGATGAAGCTTTTCTCTGTAATACATTGAGAAAATATTACAAATCTTTTTCTTTCAAACTCTCTGAAACTAAATTTGGTATGAGAGAATTTCGACCATGGTTGACTTGTCCCAATATCCTAATTCTTTTAATATACTTAAATTTCATATTACCTTAGCATCACCAACCAGTTACCTCCTACTCAAACTAAAAATAAAATGAGTCTATCCAGCACTCAACTGTCCGGTGGGCAATCCTATTTTTACAAATATCCTTTAACCTAGTGACTTCGACCAAGTTTGAGAGAGGAAACTTCGACCAAGTTAGAAAAGACATTTAATAGGATATGCTCCATGCCCTGAGTTTTCCATTAACATCCCTCCATCAGAGGATGAACTAAATGATTTGCTTGTTCCTAATCTTGAATATGATATTTGGATTGCTGCTGACTTGCTACTTGTCACTGGCTTTATAACTCAATGTTTCGATGCTCAAGTTATGGACCACAATGTTGCAAAAGATTTTGGAACGCCATTCAAGAATACTTTTGTGTTCAATCTCGATCTCAAGAGGGTTACAATCACTAAATGCTACAACAAACTCGAAAAGAAACTACCAAAATGAGTAAATATCTCTCTACCATGAAGAAATTTCATGGTAATCTTCACTTGTTTGGCTACCCTATGGATATGAGATCATTTGTTTAGTATGTTATTGGTGGTTTGTACGAAGAGTATACACCAATCATCTATGTTATTCGAAACCAAAACATGTCGTGGAGTGAGATTCAGTTTCGAACTCTTGGCTTTTAAACAAAGATAGAAACGTTTTCAGGCTCTTAAAAATGTTACTGCACTACCTATTTCTCTTGTATCTCTCAACCTTGTCACCACTGACAAACCACATCCTCCTCACCCACAAACTACCAATGGATCACCTTATCACCCCAAAAATCGTGGGAAATTATGTGGCAAAGGCAAATACTCACCTTATCTAAACCAAACTCGTCCCGTTTGTCAAATATATGGTAAAATGGGTCATAATGCTACTGTTTGTTACTGTCGATATGACAAAAATGTCTCCCCGCCACCAGTCCCAATGTGAAACACCCAAATTTTATGAGGCAGTAAAATCTCTAGAATGGCAAGAGGCAATGCAAACATAATTTTCTGCTTTTCAAGCAAATAACACTTAGGTTTGGTTCCTCCCCCACAGAAGCAGCATTTGGTTGACCCCAAATGGGTGCATAAACTCAAACGGAACGTCAATGGTACCATTCAACGTCTTAAAGTACGTTGATTACTAAAGGTCTCTCCAAACACCTAGAATTGACTATGGAGAAACTTACAGTCCGGTAATCAAACCATCCATCATGCGGATTGTTCTTACTTTAGTTATTACTTGACAATGACTTATCGAACAACTTGATATTACAAACGCATTTCTACGTGGGAGTTTTATTGAATATGTTTCTACTCCACAACCTCTTTTTTTTTTATCATAAGTTACCTAACCACATCTGTAAGCTATCCAAAACTCTATATGGGCTTAGACAAGCCCCACAAGCTTGGTATGATCATATTTGCATTGCTCTTCTTAGCTGGTAATTTGTTCAATCCAAAGTTGATGCGCTCTTATTTATTCACCATTCCTCTCATGGAATTATTTTCATCCTAGTTTATTTTGATGACCTCATCATCTGGGATCCCTAAAAAACTAGCTACTTGCGACTATCATTCATCAACTTCAAAGTACCAGCTTTGCCATCAAAGATCTCAGTCTCCTTCATTACTTTCTTGACATTCAAGTTTATCATACACCAACTGGCCTCGTTCTTAATCAAGCTCATTATGTACAAGATTTACTACACAGATTAAACCTCCAACATATCAAACTCGCTCCTACACGCCAATGATCAATCTTTGGCAAGTCTTTATCCCTAAACGAAGGAGATCTCTTGCCAAATCCTAGTCTTTATCGCAATGCTTTCGGCTCCCTTCAATATCTCTTTCACACCTGCCCCGATATTGCTTTTGTAGTTAAAAAACTAGCCAATTCTTACAAGCTCCTACAAACTCCCGCTAGAATGCCTTAAAGCGTGTTCTTCGGTACCTTCAAGGAAATCTTCACCTTGGCATCTCCCTCCAACCCATCTCGTCACTTATTTTAACTGGTTATTCTGATGCTGAATTGGTTGCTTCTCCCGATGATCGAAAATCTGTTAGTGATTACTGTGTATTCTTTGCCAATGCTCTGGTCTTCCAAGAAGCTGTTGTTGCTTGATCCAAAACCAAATCTGAATACCGTGCTTTATGCATGTGAAATTATTTGGATCCGTTCTTTTATACGTGAACTTCACGTGACTATTACTTCCATACCTACTACATGGTATGATAATATTAGTGTCGCAGCACTTGCTCACAATCTTGTGTTTCATGCTCGCACTAAATACATTGAAATTGATGCTCACTTCATGCGTGATCAAGTCTTGATTGAAAAACTGGGCATTCGTCACATCTCCTCTCAAGATCAAATAGCAGACTATCTCACCAAGCCTCTTGCTCATACATAGCTTTGTCACTCCGGTAAGAAACTTGGTCTTTGGTTCGCATCTGTCTCATTTGAAGGGATGTTATTATTTGTAGCTTTATTTCTTTGTCTTTGTAGGTTTCTGATATTTTTTATATCGTCAATTTTTTTTAGTGATACTATAAGAATATGATTCACATCTTATGTCCATGCGGAATCCATAGACACATGAAAATGTCGACATATCGACAGAAATTTAATACCCGATGAAGACTATTTTTGTGGATGATGATTTTTTCTAGCCGTGTTTGATGTTTTTGTAGTAGTGTATTTTGGGCATTTGGGCATTAAGTCTGAGACAAAAAAAATTTGGCTTTAAATTTTTGCTTTGATTTTGAACTTAAAATGGTAAGGCTCTTTTAATAACTAAATAAAACCTAATACATGATTTTAGGAAAGCAATGAAAGTTGAATTAAAAGGAAGAGTACTTCCATTGAATGAAGTACCTTACACGGGACGTGAGCTATATACATATGTTTTAATGGTTGAGTACAACATGTGGGGGTGGGGGATCAAACTCATAACCTTTGATTGGAGGTATATGTCAATTACCGTTGAACTATGCTCACTTTAGCAAAACTATTATGATTTATTGAAGCACTATAACAACACATAATATTATCAATGTTTATGTTGGTTTTTCTTCGAGAAAAGTATGTACCTCCCAAAGGTGTACATGATAGGCCAAAAAAATCGATTGGAACTGATTGAATCGATGTCAGTTTCTACCACCTATTGGTCGTCCCCTTCCAGTGAGGGTGGAGGGTTTGAACTAATAGCCTTTTGGTTAGAGATCGAGACCAATTACCGTTGTGCTCATATTGGCGGAGGAGGAAAAGTTAGATTTGAGTATTTTTAGTTATAATAAATGTATTAATTATTTTGGTTTAGATTTAAAATAATTCCACCGTATATATTTGAAGTGAGGCGTTTACAAGTTTTTTTTGTTTTTATTTTTTTTTTAAATTTCATTTATAAGTTAATTTATTAAGTTGATTTGATTAAATGGTTTCATCTATTATTACTTCATATTAAAACATTATATTATTACTCATCAACATCATGCAAAATTATTATAAAGATATTATACTTTCTTTTTATTAAATTCATTAGTTTCCAAATTAACACTATTAGAAATTACAAATCATTTCCGTCTATTAAAATCTCTAATTTAAAATCATTTGGGTCGAATTCCAAAAACAAATTGGCATAAAAGTTTAGCATAAATTTGAAATTTAATTAAATTTATTTTCTCTCTCTAAAATCCGCTTGTATTGTACGCAACTAAATTTTACCAAATTGCCCCCAATGCCTTTAAACCCGTCTTCCTCCTCCAGAACACGCCCCCATTTCCATTTTGCACCTCACTACCAAGCTCTACTCTCTCATGGGCTCCGTCGACGGCAATGGTTGCTCATCGGAGATGGAGAAGTTCCTCTGCGATCGCTTGAATGACCCGACTCAGCCCATTGCGGAGCGCTTCCGAGCCCTCTTCTCCCTCCGAAACCTCAAAGGCCCCGCCCCTCGCGATGCCCTAATTCTTGGTCAGTCCTCTTTTTCAAACCTTTTCCTTTTCAGAAGTACAACTTCGGCTCATGTTTCATCTGTTCATTGTTATTATTGTTCCGTTTTTTTTATTGCCGAAATAAATGCTTGTCAATTTCTCCGAAGTAATTTATTCAGTTCTGTCTTCTGTGTTTGTTTGGTCGTCCAATAAGGATAATTTGCTATGGATCTGATTGATATTGATATTTGGTCGTCCTCTTTATTTAACTTTTACTAGTTTTAGAAGACCTATTTCCTATGAATATTAAGATTCCATAGTTATATTAATGTTAGGAAAAATCTTCAGGAAGGAACGTAATCAAATTGATAAAATTCTGTTGCTATACCCTACAACAATTATAAATGAATGGAAAGATAACAGAACAAGAAAAGAATTAATTAATGTACTGAATATAGTTTTTAAAAGTGTAAAAATGGCTTGTATAAAATCTTGTCAAAAGTTTCAGATTGCATTGGCCGCTCCTGATAGTCTTGGAGATGCTTTTATAGTGTTAGGACAATGTAAAGCCTGCAAAAGAGTGAATGTAAAAAGGGAAAGCTCATGGTACTTATTTTTGTTTGCATAGCGACTAGAGATTCTTCAAATTTGTTGGCTCATGAGGCTGCATTTGCATTGGGTCAAATGCAAGATACAGATTCCATCCCAGCTTTGGTGTCTGTTCTTAATGATCTTTCTTTGCACCCCATTGTTCGGCACGAGGTGAAATTAATCCCCATTTGATCATGTGTGTTTTGAATTTGATCCAAGTGTTTTGTTCTTCCATCTAATCCGTCATATTTGTTTCTGTAATGGTGTAGGCAGCAGAAGCTCTAGGGGCTATTGGCTTAGAGAGTAACATTCCTCTTTTAAAAAAGAGCTTGGCTTTAGATCCTGCTCAAGAGGTTAAAGAGACATGTGAATTGGCTCTTAAGCGAATTGAGCAATTGAAAGATTCTGGTAATGAAGGTGAATCATCCACAATTGAAAAGTCACCGTTTATGTCTGTCGATCCAGCCGCACCGGCTTCTTCTAATGCTTCTGTACATCAACTGAGGTATGGCAAGGCAATTGCAATAAATGCAATCTACTATTTGTGGTATATAAGAAGATTATCGTTTGAGGTAACTTTTAGTTCACAATAGTTTCTTATTACTTTGGTACCTCATTTATCCTTTGAAGGGAGATTCTTCTCGATGATGATAAGGGCATGTATGAGCGGTATGCAGCTCTTTTTGCTCTACGGAATAATGGCAATGATGAAGCTTTAACTGCAATTATCGACTCTTTAAGCTCAACAAGTGCTCTGCTAAAGCATGAGGTTTGTTTCGCACTTATAATTTTATTTGACCGTATCTTGACCTTGAGTAGCATTAGCCATCACTCAATCTATATCAGTAACTAGTAAGGACTGTAATTTCTCAGAAAACAGCAGTTTTATTTATCATTTTTTGTTTATTTTCTCTTTTGGAACTTAATCTGGTTTATTATGTTGACTGTGTTCTTACTGTCAGCTTAATAATAATTCTTGCTGCTTGTGTGTCCCTTTTTTTTTAGTTCTCATTTATTTTTAAATTTTTGCTCTTTTGAAAATAAATTTAATAGATATTTCAAGGTTGGAATTATCTTTTGAATTAATTTAGGTTGAATCTCTGCATGCCACATTGTAAAGTTACTATTTCTTCATTTGAATGTTGCTATTTTGTGTAATTATAGGTTGCTTATGTATTGGGCCAATTGCAAGACAAAGCAGCTTCTTATGCCCTTTCTGATATACTTGAGAATGTTAATGAGCACCCAATGGTTAGACATGAGGCTGCAGAAGCTCTTGGTTCCATTGCTGGTATAATTTATTTGACGTTCTGTTAAATCCTGAAAGTATTATTTTTTTTCCTTTGTTTGATTTGCTAAACAGAAAGCTAAAAAAATTTAACTCTACTACTAAGTGCTTTGTAAAGAATCCTGAAAAAGTAATCTGCTATTGTGATGTGATGGGTCTTTGTTATAGTTATATATGATAAATCACATAAGAACTTACCTGCACTATCCAAGTTACTATATGTAGTGTTTCCTTAAGTGTTAAGTGCTCTGAGGTGTAATAGCTCTTTTGGGGATTAAGAGCAGGGGACAAAAAAGAGGTGTGGAGTGTGGACTCTTTTCCGAAGAGGCGCACAAAATATGATAAAAACAATGATTTTATGAAGCATGAAAAATTAAAGAACTGGGGGCTTTGTTTAAGAGGTTGTTTAGTTGGTGCTTCTGTCGTTGTCTGCTTCTTTATTTTTTGGATTATGTTTTTGTTGTACTTGTAGATGAAAGAAGCATAGCACTTCTCAAGAAGTTTGCGAAGGATCCCGAGCCTATCGTCTCACAGAGTTGTGAGGTTGCCCTAAGTATGTTGGAATATGAAAGGTTGGGAAGATCATTTGAGGTATACATTCTTAGCTTATTGACCATTTTTTAATGGATGCGTTTTTTAATACTTTATCAACACATATCTGTAAGTAACTTTAAAAAAAAATACCATGCAGTTCCTGTTTATGCAATCTCCCCAAGTGCAATAAGTTGCAACAAACAGCAGATAGCATCAATTGCCAAGGTTAGAAACAGGTCCATCTATTGGCAACAAATAGATATAGTGGAATCAAAAGCATGCTTAGTTATATAGGTGATTCTTCGTTGACATTTTGGATATCAGCGAGATTGGAACAATTTATACAATAGTTATCTGTTTTTATTATCTCAGCGGGAATGAAAAACAACAGAAATTTTACTCAATAGCATAGAAAGATTATATATTTCTAAACATGTTAGCATGTTTAGTTTTTTTAAACCAAAAGTTGTACTTGTACAAAATGTTTAACTTTTTAAAAATAGGACACTTGTAAATGGTACAGTTGTTTGTTGACTTTGCTGTATCATTCGGCTTCAAGAGATTCATTCCATAATGGAATAACAAAATATTTTGGATATTTTTACTTTTGCAAGTTGCAGAGTAGCAACAACCTGTTGGGAGTTGGGACTGGGACATTTAGGAGGTGTTAAGATCTTATTTCGATTTATGTATTCAGGTTTAAGAGGTCAATTATATGTTTAGTAAGTAAGTTTGCTTATTTAATGTTACAGATTTGTTTATTCTTAAGTTATGAGTTTGCTTATTTAATGTTACAGATTTGTTTATTCTTAAGTTATGAGTTGCTAATCCCATAAACTATTGAAAGGTCAAGTTTATGTTTGTGCTATGAACTATCGAAAGTAAATTATGTTTGATGTTGGGCAGTAAAGTTGACTGATTAAGGTTTTATCAACTTACTATTTGAAGTGAGTTGAGTCTTAGTCAAGGGACTAAAAGTGTTCATGCTAAATTACGAAGCTTGTGTTGAGACTCATGCTTGGATCTAGACTTAGTGAGGATGCTGGTTGGTCTGTGAATTGGACAAATTGAGTCGTTTGGCTAAAAGGTCCACGATGAGACGCAATGCTAACTGTGGGAGGGGAGAGCAAAAGGAGTGAGATCACATGGTGGAGTTTCATGGAGCAGATTGCGGGAGGCAATCTCATCTCCAAGACGCTGATTAGAGTGGGTGGTCTAGGTGAAATGGAAGGATCGGGTGGGGTGGCAGAGTTTGAATGGTGATCAGCTTTACCTGTGCTCTTGCCCTACGAGATGAATCACATATTAGACTATGTAAAAAATTGCATAATATCAAATCATGTTGAGATGTTACCTTGCACTATAGTTGTAACTAGAACTTTATCTAATTCAACTTTGACTTTATCTTAGGCCTCACTACTTCCACATTTCTCTCGATGTGTCATGCTTATTACTCAAATTGCACTGCACATCCTTTTGAATTTTGGCCTTGGCCCTGGGCATTGCCCTCTCCCTTCGACTTTTTGGTATTGTGTAAGGGTCTAACGCTTTCCAGAGTTATTAAAATGTGAGTTTTAGCCATAGTTGATAGGTGGGAGTCGTAGTTGATGGGGCAAGAGGCAATGTTGATCGAATTTGATTGGAGGTCGATAGAGGCGGCTCCAAGTGGTCATTGCATACTAGGCAATCGATGTCTATGTAGTCCTCGAAAATTGATTTGAAGGATCATCCATCCTCACCGTCATTACACTCCACGTTTGTTGACTCTCTGTTGGTAGCATTATCCTCTATATTAGGTTTTTGATCGACAAAAGTCTCCCAATATCACCACTCAACATCAAATTCCTAGAGTGTAGGAGTAGTTGTTGTCTGCGATGAAACAAACATGTCAGCATAAATCTTTGGCAACAAAACAAATATGCATCTAAAAATAAACGTAGATATATTTTTTTTTTCCTTGAGAGGATTCTAAGACATCTCGTTCTAATGTGACAATGGGAGTATGACCATTTAAGCATGTGAGACATGGTTGTATTGCTCAATTGGTTTGTTGGCAGGTACAGTCTCGTATGCCAAACCCTATAAATAAACAAACGAAATATATATATTCGGTGTCAGATGATAATAATGTAGGTGATTGGTAGCAAATGTAATAAGACATTATAGATGATAGTTTTACCTAGAAAGTAGGGAAAAATTCTTACAAACTTATACTTGACGATGTAACTCTCATTTGATGCGACCTTTGTCTTATAACCTGGAACCTTGTATCTCATTGCATTTTGAAGGCACTCAATTGTCCTCTCCCATATAGGGGTTCTCGATTCCCTAATCTGTGCTATTGAAGTAGTCAAAGTTGTCAACTTACCCATACAAATCTTTGTTAGCAGTGGAGTTCTTATTCTTTCTCGTCATTATGTATTCGGGTGTAGTGGATTAGTGACACCTTCAATGCATCGTTGTCATTCGCAAACACTAGTTTTTCGTATTGTTTTCGAACGCATCAAGGTTGGAGATCAACCAAATCGTTGAAGTACTCCCTTTGAAGGCGTGTTTTCGACACCTTCTTCTGAGCCATTGCACCTGAAAATTGCCACAATTCAGTGATGCGTAGGAGTTTAGGCTTCGAGAATGTCACAATGGTTTACTTCAACAATGTGGTCAATCTCCACCTTGATGCATTAAAAAAAAACACTATGAGAAGTTAGTATTTGCGAACGACTATGCATTGAAAGTATTGTTGATCTACTACACCGAACTCGTAATGATGAGGAAGAATAAGAAGTCCATTGCGGACAAGGATTTGTATATGCAAGTTGAGGACTTAGACTACTTCAACAACATGGATGGGAGAATCTCTACATGAGAGAAGACAATTAAGAGCTTTTAAAATGCAATGGAAGGCAATGTTCAGGGTTATAAAGATAGGACTGCGTTAATCAAAAGATATGTCACCAAGTATAAGTCTCTCAAGATTTCCACATAATACTTTGATCTATAATGTTTTCTTCTTATGCTCTTGATCACCTATATTGTTGTCATTCGATGTCTAATAATCATCCTCACCGTCACTATGTTCCCAATGTTGGGGGAGGAAACTAGGGTGAAGATTAGGACTATCTAATGCTGTAGCATTTCAGCAAAAAGGAAAATTTCCAATAGGATTTCCTGGACATGATCAGTAACAACATGCTCAACAATCTGTATGTTCATCAAATTTGGAGAATCAGATAAATGCATACATGGCTAAGAATGATGGCACCCTTTAGAGTCAAGATGCATTGATTTATAGGCAAGTAGCATCATTGAGAAATCTAGAAGTACTGATGGGCCAAATGGCAATGGAGTTAAAGAACAGACACTACCTAGTGACACTTAACATCTTAAGAAGGATTGAAAGGAGCAATGCAATGCTCTCACGTTGAGAAGTGATAAGGCATTGTCATTAGCCCATCTCAACGGTACAGATGATGTCTGAAGAAGAGAATTGCCAGAAAAGCTTTAGAAGGCTTAACGATAGTTGAAAGACGAGGTTAATGCTAAAGTGTCTACCATTGAAGCGCTAGCAGAAAATAGGATACAAGATAGGAATCACTCTGTATAAACTATGAACAGAATTCCTGCTAGAGAAATCGATGCCGGAGAATTTGGGTCTGAGCAGCAGAAAATCAGAAGCAGCTAGAGGCAGAATCGAAGGTTGCACCAGTAGAGTAATGACCAATTTCGCCCTAGCCCTAGTGTTTACTAAGAAAAATTAAGATGTTCAGTTTAGGAAATTTTTGGACATACTTAAGCAACTCTATGTCAACATCCCGTTGGTGGAGGTGCTCGAGCAAATACCAAACTATGTCAAGTTTTTAGAGGACATCTTGGCAAAGGAGAAAAAGTTGGGAGAATATGAGATTGTAATGCTTACAAAGGAGTGCAACAATGACAAGCAAGATACCATAAAACATGAAGACCTTAGGAGCTTCACAATCCCAATATCAATAGGAGGTCAGAATGTGGGACAAGCTACATGCGACAGGCGCCAGTATCAATCTGATGCCATTGTTAATATATAAAAAATTAGGAATGGGAGAGACTCAGTTGAGTGTCATGCTGCAACTGCAGATAGATCCATAATGCACCTAGAAAGAAAAATAGAAGTCCTTTGTACAAGTAGATAAGTTCATTTTCCTTGTTGATTATAAGTGTAGATTATGACGTTGATAAAGAAGTTCTTATTATTTTAGGTAGATCTTTTTTTTTTTTTCCAAAAGGGAAAGCTCTAGTAGACGTGCACAGGAGAGAACTGACTATGAGAGTACAAGATCAAGAGATTACGTTTTATGTGTTTGATTCGATGAGGTATCCTGCTGATACAAAAGAATGTTTAGTTGTACATTTAGCTAATGATTTGTTTGTTGATAACCTGAGCCAAGAACTGTTGCTGGAGTACATTCAAAATGGAGGAGCTATGACTCAAGAAGATGCCAGTATGGGTAACAAGAAAATAGTTTTATCTAGGGAGTGTTAGTCAGAAGTAGTGGTCAATGAAGAGAGTTTTTGAATCATTGGGCTAAGAGGAGAGAGTACTCAAGCCGTTGAAGCCGTCTATTGAAGAGTCGTTGAAGTTGGAATTGAAGTCATTGCCCCAACATTCGAAGTATGCATAATTAGGCAAGTAATAAGAAACCTTACCTATTATTCTTGCTGCATACTTGTCTGAGGAGAAAGAAATAAAATAGCTGGGTGTGTTGAGGGAGCGTTGGCTGGACAATAGCATATATCCACGACATCAGTCCTAGCTTAGGCATGCTCAAAATTGTACACAAAGAAGCATGAAAGAACTCTCTCGAGCCCCAGCGCAAATTGAACTCTGCCATAAAAGAAGTTGTGAAAAAGGAATCATGGGTACCCAAGAAAGATAGAATGACAGTAGTAGAGCTCAAAGAATGAGCTAATTTCCACCAAAACGGTAACAGGGTGGAGAATTTACATGTAATGCTAGACAGGCTGGCCAAGTAGAAATAGTAGGGACAAGGGTAGTGATTTACACAGACCATTCAGCAATTAAGTACCTTATGACAAGGAAGGATGCTAAATCACGCTTTATTAGACGAGTTCTTCTCGTGCAGATCACCTCTCCAAACTTGCTGCTGCACTCCTGAAGCAGAGACTATGGAGATCAAAGATTCATTTGCCGATGAGCAATTAATGGCAATTATGCTAATTGGACTTATAAGAAGATGCATTTCGAGAAATACAAGTAATAGTAACATAATATCACTAATATAGACATGAGGTTAATATTAATATTTTTAGTGCTAGTTTTCACATTTTCAGAAAAAAAGATTAATATTAATAAATTTCAATTTATTTTAAAGGATGAAATGCTTATATGTCATTTTAAATATTTGTTATGATTTTTTTATTCCTATAATTCTTTAAGAAATATAATTAAAATGGACATTTTGTAGACATTTATACCAATATTCTTACATTTTTAATAATTTTTCTATATTACTAAATACAATATTTTTGCAAATATTTAATATTATTAAAAGAATCCCTCCCCCAACCTATGTGATTTTGTTAAATGTCCATTTTAAACGAAATCATTTTATTTATTTCTTAAAAACAAAATAAAGGAAAGAATCCTAATTATTATTCTTTTTTAAAGTTCTGGAATTAAATAGATATTATACAATTTTAGAGGGATAAAAATGAGTGAAGAATCATATAAGTAATGTAAGTCGGTAGTTTTTATTTATCCTTTCTTTCATGGATGCCTGGATGGTAGTTCATTCCATGGTCGGGGTGAGGGGTGTAGATACCACAAGAATTTTTAGATTTTTGAAAGTTTGTGGCCAAAATCTACAAATTCGTCGTTGAAGTACTCTCACCATAAATAACCCCGTCGTAGAAGATTGACAATGAAATTTACAATTCGTCACCAAAAGTCGTTAAAATTTTGTGACGAAATCATTTTGTCACCAAAGATCCTTTTTAGCAACAAAATGATATTCATCGCCAAAGGATATCTATGATGACGAAATGCTAAGTTCATCGCTAAATGACACCTTTAGCGACGAATAACGTTCCATCGCTCTCTGACAATGAAATTCACATTCTATTGTTCTCATTGTTTTCGTTACATAGAACTAAAACAATATAAATATAAATTTGAAAGTTTAAGGATCAAAATACAAATTTTGAAAAGTTAAAAATCAAAATAAAATAATCTTGAAGTTTAGGTCTTGTTTAGTAAGCATTTGATTTTAGGTTTTTTGTCTTTGAAATTTAAGCTTACAAACACTACTGCCTGCTTCGTTGTTTTATAATCTATTTTTTAAAAATATTTTCAAAATCTAAGCTAAATTTTGAAAACTAAAAAAAAGGTTTTAAAAAAACTTTGTATTTA